CAAAGCAGTATATTCTTTTTTTAGATATTGTTTAATTGTTACCAACATAGTTTAACTGTGTGGTGAAGCTTTACTATAGGTTCAAATGTGCCATGAGATTAAAAAGGTTGAGAAACACTGTTCTATACAAATCTTGGCTCATAAAGGATACGTAGTTTCAAACTCAACACCGAAGAACTGATCAATTAAACTTTTCTTTTTAGAAGGTGTCACTGCTGATGCAGAAGAATCTGTCTGTAGAAAGAAAAAGAAATAAAAATTCCCATTTTATACAGATATTAATGTATATTTTCTTCTACACAATTCAGTTTAATAACACATGTTTAAGCTTTGTACATTAAATTCAAATGTCAAACACGAGCATTTCAACTATACAGTAAACATCTAAAGTAGTCAAATACATACCAAAGTATTAAGATGACTGATTTTATTTCAAGCTTTTTTTTGGGGGGGGGGTAAACAAAAACCTCAAAGTATATTAAAAGTCTATAATCACAAATATATTTTAATTACCTCTTTCACAGAATCATCTTCTATGGCTTCCAATTTCTGTTGCAATACGCGCATCATTTGTACCCAGCATTCATTAGCATCCTACAATTAAAAAATTACACTGAAAGTAATCCTGCAGTGACAGTATCTAGTCTATAAAATCCTTCCAAAATAAATGCTGTTTCCTTAGGGAAAAAAGCTGTTTTCTTCTTTAAAAATACTAACTCAACTTAGATATTGTTTATATGATTTTCAAAAAAAAAAATTACAGAATATTTATCCATCTATTAGTTTTTCATCTCCTACTCGTGTTGAACACTGTTCTAGACATAAGGAACACACAGCAGTGAAAATATACATTCCTTCAGGGATAAGGGTTATGAAGGAAAATTTGCAGCAGGGGAACCAAAAGTGATCAGGGGAAGGGAAGTGAGCTAACTCAGTAAGGCAGTCAGGGAGAGGCTGAAGCCTGAAGCCTTCGGGGTACTGGGAAACCACCCTTCTAAGGACCTAACAGTCAAAGGAACAAGAGGAAAGGCCCTGCAGGAAGAGGCCACTTGAAAAGTTTTAGGAAGAGTAGAGAAGCCAGCCTGGCTGGAGAGAGGCAAGCAGGGGGAGAAGCATGGCAGTGATGAGCTCAGAGAGGGAGTCAGGGGCTAGAAGACATGGGTCTGGGGTAGAAAAATCACCAGGAGTTACTGAACAAGGGCCCAACATAATCCTACCTACAGTTTAAAGAGGACACTGAGGGCTGTGTGGAGAAACATTGCAGAGGGGAAAAGCAGAAGATGATCAGTTAACAGACTACAGAACTACTAGGCTAGGCAAGAGAGAATGGTGGCATGAGAGAATGGTGGAACAGACTCTACCTGTATTTCCAAGTATGTTCCAATAACTACGTTATAGAAAGCCTAAGTTTTACTAACAAAAAAACCTCGCCCTGATTACCTGTTGAAGATACTGTCCTTGTTCACCTTTCTCCGCAAACTGTGGGAAAGCCATGTGCAAAAACTGCAGTAGAATAATAGGAGGAATACTAGAAGAAGTTTTATCCATGGAATCAAACAAATCTCTAAGGGCTTAAAAACAAAAAGATTGCCTCAGTAAAACAATGACGTACTTAATATATGCTACTAAAAATTAATTCTTAATATGAATAAAAGTCCTGCTTAACTATTTTTAAATATATCTATCCTTTTGCAATTATTGGACTCCTGAATGAGAGAAAAATATTCATTTTTAAATCTTAGGAACTCACCACAAAACTTTATAATACAATCATTAGCTATCAACAACTTCTGAGCTTAACTCCCTCCTTCCCCTTGTCAGCCTTTGTCTTCGCAAACAAAGTAGAGTGCATTAATTCAACACAGAACACACAACCTCTGTCTAGGAATCAAGCAGGCATTATTACTGTTCTGCCACTCTGCCGCTATCAGGCCATCAGGTCACCACTCCCCGCTTAACTCCCTCTAAAGCTAGTTCCCATCTACTGAACTGGATACTGAAATCTGGCAGCTTAAACACAGTTCCTGGCTCTATGGAACAGCTTGACCCAAAACAGATGTGCCTTCTTCACAACCTTTCCCATATTTATCCCCTCTCAGCAGCTAATACCCTTATGCTAATGCTTCCAGCTATCACACCCTACCCTTACTTTATGTACTGCAAAACTTATCTCAACTTGTTTTGCTTTGTTAATAACCAAAATGTGAAATGCCATCTGCCCTTATAACACAGACTTAACCCAGAAAATCCTGTAGCAGCTCAGCAAAAACCTTGCTTTCAGCAAGGCTCAAGAAAATATTCCTGAACAACAAAACTAAATATAAAATTTAAAAAGTATTTTGGAGGGGTGGCGCCTGTGGCTCAAAGGAGTAGGGCGCCGGCCCCATATGCCAGAAGTGGTGGGTTCAAACCCAGTCCCAGCCAAAAGAAAAAAAAAAACGTATTTTGGAGGAAAGGCTGAAATTTAGGCATCACTACCAACTGTTTATAAAATAAAAGCCTAAATTTTAATACTTTAAGATACACACTACACAAAAACAAACACCACCACCAACAAAAAACCCAGATGATTAAGATTTAGTATCAAGTACTTATTTCATTAGTTTGAAACAAAAAACCAAGAAACAAAATCTAGATTAAAAAGAATTAATGAGGTTCAGCACCAGTGGCTCAAGCGGCTAAGGCGTCAGCCACATACACCTGAGCTGGCGGGTTCCAATCCAGCCTGGGCCCACCAAACAACAATGACGGCTGCCACCAAAAAGGACTAATATGATGTGATGACAACTAAATTCAATATGTGATCCTACAACTGAACCCTGAAGCAAGAAAAAGAATTTTTTAATAAGCAATACTGGGGCTGGGGGCATGGTAGCTCATGCCTTTAATCCCAGCACTTTGGGAGGTCAAGGCAGGGAGGATATGAATTATATGTCAACAAAGCTGTTACGAAGGGAGAAAAAAAAAAAGCATAGCTGTAAAACTCCTATCAACTTAGCCCAACAATTTTATAGTATTCATTTGTAAAAATGTCCGAAGTTAGGGAGGGGGGAAATATGATCTCATGCAATGACACAAATTATTTCTAGCCTTTAAGATTTATTTCTCCTCACACAGATCATTTCTTCATACTAAAACCCACTAAAACTCTTCTAAAATGATCACATCAACTATTATAATACCTGTCTCTCACTATCCCCAAAGTAATTCCCAGAGACATCCTACAACAGAATCTAAAACCAAAATCATAATTTAATCTCCCAAATCCAAAGATGATTTTTCAAAAAGGACAGGTATTACTGGTTTATAATTTTGAACATAGGTTTCAAGCTGTTTAACATAAGTATAAAGTATACTCCAATCTTAAGATGTCTTACAAAATACATTTTATAAATAGAAAAAGTACCAAACAAATTGTGAATGAAAAATAAAACGTATACCCCCTACTAAACAATGGTGTATTTAACATACTGACCTGCAGTAATATACTGTGCTGAAGACATTTCCCCTGAAGCTCGCAAGGCACCTGCATACCTAGGAACAATAAAGCAAATTTATTTTATTCTATTTTATTCTGAGACAGAGTCTCACTACGTTGCCCTGGGTAGAGCGCTGTGGCCATTACAGCTTACAGCAACCTCAGACTCTTGGGCTTAAGCGATTCTCTTGCCTCAGCCTCCCAAGGAGCTGGGACTACAAGCGCCCACCACCACACCCAGCTATTTTTGTTTTGCTGTAGTTGTCATTGTTGTTTAGCAGGCCTGGGCTGGTTCAAACCCACCAGCCCTAGTGTATGAGCAATGGGCAAAGAGCCCATAAAGCAAATTTAAATAACTCTGAAACTCAGACAGGAAGAAACCAGTTAAAAGGACTTATTATGATACCCTCCATACAAAGTTTCTGAGATTATTCCCATTTTACTATTTTCTTCTCTTCTGGTCTTGCTCCTCTAAAGATTTTATGGATAAAGAAAGGAATGCTAAAAAGGGAATTTAGACAAAATTTTCAGGTTTTTTCCCTTCATCTAACTTATATGAAATAAACATTTTCTGAAAACAGTGCAAAACAAAAATGTCTATTAGTTACAATGAAAAGAAAAGAATCTCAGAAATAACTAGGAAGAAATAAGCATTAGATCAAAAACAAATAAAAAATCATACAGTTAAATTTGGCAACAGCTTATTGCATAACCTTAAATAAGTTACTTAAGTTTCAAGTCCATTTGCTCATCTATAAATTCAGGATATAGTATTAACTGATCTAAATTTGCTTTCTGTCTTGTGATTCTCAATTCACAACAGTACAACAAACTGGCCATCCAAAGGAAACATACAAACCATAGTCACTAATACAGAGAGACTGATCTTACCCCACACTGGCAAATATGTGAAGCAACCATATTTAATAACTGATAGATAAAAACATGGGTGCATCTCAAAAATTTTGAAACTAAGTGAAACAAGCCAGACCGAAAGAAAATTACATCCTGTAAGATTCCATTTATTTCATGTTCCAGGATGTACAAACTAATATAAGATCAGCAGTTGCTGGACGTGGGTGGAGAGATGAGGACTCATTGAGAAAAGGCACAACAAAACTCTTTGGGATGACAGAAACGTTTTGTAACTTATTAGGAAAATAGATTACAATTTGCATTTGTCAAAATTGATCAAACCAGAGAGCTGGGTGCAGTGGCTCCCACCTGTAATCCTAGCACTCTGGGAGGCTGAGGCTGGTGATTAATTGAGCTCAGGAGATGGGAGACCAGTCTGAGCAAAAGTAAAACCCCGTCTCTAAAAATAGTCATGCATTGGGGTAGGTGACTGTAGTCGCAGCTGCTCAGGATGCTGAGGCAAGAGAAGCACTTGAGCCCAAGAGTTTGAGGTTGCTGTGAGCTATGATGCCACAGCACTCTACCCTGGGGTGATAAGAGTGAGACCCTTATTTCCAATTTAAAAAAGGCTGGGTACAGTGGCTCACAACTGTTATCCTAGCACTCTGGGAGGCTGAGGCAGGTGGACTGCTTGAGCTCACAAGTTTGAGACCAGCCTGAGCAAAAAGTGAGACCCCAATCTCTACTAAAAATAGAAAAACACAGCACTCTAACCCAGGGGGACAGCTTAAGACTCTTGTCTTAAAAAAAAAAAAACAATTAATCAAACCAAACACTTAAATATGTACATGTCAAAAAATAAATAACGTCTATATCACTAGATGTATATGTCTGTATCTCCATTTCTAAAAAGCAAAAACTGGGTGGCGCCTGTGGCTCAAAGGAGTAGGGCACCAGCCCCATATGTCAGAGGTGGTGGGTTCAAACCCAGCCCCAGCCAAAAAAAAAAACTGCAAAAAGTAAATAAATAAATAAAAAGCAAAAACTGTGATTATGTTAACTAAAATGAAAGAGGTCACAGAAAAATATTATGTTAAATTGTAATCAACTGATGGGTTTGTTTTTCCCTTTTCAATTGTTTACATCCCTTGGAAACTGTATGAAGGAAAAACTTTAAAATTTTTCAATATGTAATAATTCACAATAATGCCTGAATTATGTGTTTATTTGAAAAACCTGAAAATCATTAAGTTCCCCTATCAAACATATTAGCAACTTCTAAAAAGGTACTCTTGCAATTGAAACCAAGTACTAAGGAAGCAGATCTACCTAGAACATCACTGACGGCAAGCAATTACGTACTTAATTACCAGTGATACTGGATTTTACTTTTTGTTATAAGGTAACACAAATATGCAACTATTTCTGCACTTATGGCAAAACTATGCTAATTATCAATCTTCTTTTTTAGTAACTGAGAATAGAAAGTCATTGGTGAATTTTTTTCAAAAAAAGCTTTCAATATTAATAAAAGATATAACTCCTAATTTAAGACATCCAAAAAGTTAAATAACATTAACACTAAAACATATAAAGAAAAACTTAGAAAACAAAAGGAGAAACTGACAAAAATTCTTTCTACTAAAAAAGTAGAAGAGAAACTTTCCACATCTTGGTCAACACAATAATTAAAAACTAAGCAATGATACAGAAAATCTGGACATAATAATATAGTTAATGTCTACTAAACTTCATTATCTACAAAAAGAGGACATTTTGTCTTTTCTTCAACAATCAGATCAAACAAATTTCCAAAAACTAAATTGTATACGCCACAATCCTTCTCCATGGTGCAATAAAATAAAATTGTAACATATAGTTTTATGTATGTTTCTAGGCCTATAGGCTAAATAACCTGGATTAAACTATTAGATCAAGATATAGAACAAATGAAAAACTCATATAATGCTAATAATTTGAAAATGTAAATCAGTACTACCATTTTGGAAATCTGTTTGGCAAGACAGGCTAAAGACTAAAGAGCACATACATACCCTCATGACCAGAAATCTCACTGTAGACATGCATGTGTATGCATATATACTTACACAGACCCAACAGAAACACATGCACACGTGCCTCCAAAATCATGTACTAGAACGTTCAGGGTGTATTTTTCATAATAACCAAAAACTGAACAAAACCCAAATATTCATCAACAGAAAAATGGATAACAAATTGGCAGTATATGCACAGACTGAAATATTATACAGTATGAAAAAAAGGAATTACCAATATGCACAACATGGATACCCCAGGCATGATGAGCCGTACTCAAGTGAACTCAATCTGTATTTTTCTTTTTTTTTTTGTAGAGACAGAGTCTCACTTTGTTGCCCTTGGTAGAATGCCATGGCATCACACAGCTCATAGCAACCTCCAACTCCTGGGCTTAAGCAATTCTCTTGCCTCAGCCCCGAGTAGCTGGGACTACAGGCACCCGCCATAAGGCCCAGCTATTTTTTGGTTGCAGTTTGGCCAGGGCTGGGTTTGAACCCGCCACCCTCGGTATATGGGGCCTGCGCCCTACTCACTGAGCCACAGGCACTGCCCTGTATTTTTCTATTTTACATAAAGAATTCAAAATAGGCAAAACTGATGTAAAAGGTGTAGAGGTCAGAATAGTACTAACAACTATGGAAAGATGGATTGGGACAGTAAGCTCTGTAAGGGGATTTTTAGAATGCTTGGGAGGGGGTGGATGCTGCTGGTTACATAGACACGTTCGTGCTGGGTTGGTTCCCCGAGCTGTATGCTTATAATTTTCACAATCTCTGCATGTTATAACTCAACAATCAAAACTAACTTTCAGCCAAAAAGAGATTTTATAGTTTTTTAAAAACAAACAGCCTTATCTAATAAATGG